TTTTTTTCTACTATCACGATCGAGGTACCAATACATTCAATACTTCCTCTTTTTTTTTTATTCGTTAATAAAAATTCCCTATATTTTTTTTATATATTTGCATTATTATTTGTACACGTGTGTATATAATATGTTTATGTGTAATTTTTACGTACGTAATACTAAATATTAATTATTATATTCGGACCTTTTTATTAGGGTAAAACAACTTTTGAGATTTACACTAATATATACGACTAATCAAATAAATTTACTTTATAGACGTAACATTTAACTTTATGACTTTTCCAAAAGTGCCAATACGAGAGTAAAAGATCAATTTAGATCGAACGAACTTATTGGGGATAGGGGTGGCTTGTAATTATTATATTTCCAGGATAGAGAAAAGGGCAGTGAGCACGTCATACGTGTCAAAAAGTTTTCTAACCATGTTCCAAGAAGTTTTTGCAATAACGCTCGTTACATTACTTTTACATCCACGTAGATATATATATATATATACCTTGTATCGTACTTTCCTTTTCTTTATTATTATTTATTTTTTATTGAAAGAAAAAAGAAAGAAATTAATAATTTGTAATAGTAATTAAATAAGATTCATTTCCAGATGAAAAGAAAAGGAATCATCAAGTTCGCATGTGAGTTTGAAATCAGTAGCAGGATTTAGTTAGAAAAAAAAAGCAAAGATAAGAGAAGGATGAGGATGAGTGGGAGTGGTTTGGTTCAAAGTAAGAAAAAGAAGAAAAAGAAGAAGAAGAAGTTGAAATTCTTGAATTCCCATTCTTCGTGTTATTATATACTATAAAAGGTACGGACCCCATCGAAATCCGTTCCGCTCCATGTACGTCTCGGCCAACATGAAATATAAGGCAATTTCATGAACCATTAAGAATGGAAGTTCATAAGTCGGCAGCAGCACGTGTTTTCGGTGTTAACCCGTGTAGAAGGCAAAATGAGATTTTTCGATGTGTCGGCCCACCAACCACCATACGATTCTTCTCCTTCTTTCTCCTTTCTCCTCTCTTTTGCTTTCTCTTAGCATGCCATCGATAACACGAACACATACCGCGAGGAAAAAAAAATAATAACGTATACTACTACTGAAAACTCTTATGTCGTTTTTCTTCAACAAACACACACACACACAGAGAAACAGAAACAGAGAAAACCTTTTTATCCTTTTTACCAAAAAATTGATTTCTCCCTAACATTTTTCATTCTCGATATCATACAGTGACTAACGAAAGTATTTCGAATGATTATACTATAATAAATAAATAAACTTACTTTATGTCGTTGTTCATTTGTTAATTTTAACTTAAACCTTGTACAGCACACCTTGTACTCCTAATATTAAAACTTTAAAAAATTTGTGACTAATAGAAATTATAAAACATTTGTTGCAAAAGGTATATATAGGAAACAATATCACAAAGTAAATTTATCGATTATTATACGATAAATTTTCAATGCAATACCAATTTCAATGGATTAACGTTTTACGAAAAAAAAAAAAAAAGAAAGAAAAAAAAACAGAAGAAGTAAAAGAATAAGAAAATTAGATGAGAAAGGGGGAAATAAAAAACAAGGAAAAAAAAGTGAAGGAAGCAAGGGAGCAAGGAAAGAAAGAAGGGTGCCTTTATAATTTCACCCCTAATTTATTTTACAGTGAAGCTAATAAAAAAGCAACCACCGCGATGTATCCCGGTTGGCCGTTCGCCAAGGAGCACCAAGGAAGAACCGGGATATTCTGGTGGGAGAGAAAAATGAAAAAGCGGAAACGCTTTCTTGCAGATCCTCGAAAACACGCGATCACGTATTCTTCACCCTCTCCCTTTGACTTAGGTCGAACAAAGGCCCTTACGATATGGCTCTTTCACTTTTATCGTCCTTTCATTCTGTTTTTTTTTCTTCTTTTTCGTTTATAATAATATCGATAATGCTAATAGAATGAAAAAAAATATCAAGATAAATGAAACTATAAAATAAAAATCAAATAATTATAACGCTACGAAACCTAAAACATATTAAATTATTAATATATTAAATATCACAACTGGGAGATGATAAGAATTAATGGTCTCGCAAATAAATATTATACAAATTGATGTTGTAGAAAACAAAAGAAAGAGAATGTAGAAAATAAATAAATATTTTGTCAATTGAATCGTACAAATGAACAAAATTGGATTTGATTTAAATGAAATCCATTTTAAAGGTAGACACAACAACCCCTTTTTCCCGTTTTAAATCGTACATTCGCTCGATATGCGAACGGTATCCCAAGCTTTCGTACTATACTCGAAAACGTGCATATATATACATATATCTATATATATATATATATATATACTTAGGACCATGCGATCGATGAAACACGCGGCTGGTGATTTTATTATTACTTGCGTGCATTATCTCGCGCGTGGCACGCCAAATGCGCGATCGTGTGCTCCTACCATGGGTCCGGGAAATTCCGATGATTCTCGTGTTTCGCTTTTACAACGTCGATCGTGAAAATTGATTAACCGGCAATAAGTGAATTTTTATCTCATCCGTCCCCCTTTATCCCTTCCCTTCCAAAACCCCTTTTCCAAAAACAAAACCACCTTTCGCGTCCAGATATTTTACGAATAACAATCAAGTGCTACTATAGTGAGCCCCCGCAAAATTCAGCAGTGCCTAAGAGGTTTAACGTTGAAAGAAAAACATTAATCTCTGAAAAATATGATTTTATATTTTTTCCCCTAATAATATTTATGCGCTTTACATACATACACATAGACAGACACACACACACACACACACATTATACTTATTGTAATTCGTTAGTGATACCTATACGTCATGTAATACAAAACCGCTTTTGTCGAACCGCATCAAACGTCACAATGGTTAACGAAATTAGATTAACCATAGGTGTGTCTACCATCAAATCTATTAAAACAAAAGCCCTAACTACTCTCGTGTTTCAACTGGCTAGTCCGTTGGCTAATTAAACGTCTCATCGAACGCCGCTGGCACATCTCGTTTTCGTGTAATACCGCTAACACGTTGTGACAGTGATAGTCATAACAGGATGAATAAATATCATCCTTTAGACCAAAAGATATTATTATATCCCTTTTTTTTGGAACCCTTTATCGACAAATTTTGACGATCGAATACGAGAGACGAATTTCTAACAAATTATTATTATAAAGTCTGCAATTGAATCTCTCCTAAAAAAAAAAAAAAAAACAATAAAGTAATTTTTATTAATTAATAATTAATAATAAAATTAGATATAATATATTTTAACATACGGCATCCACGATAGCCACTATAGTGGTGCGTAGTATCTAAAAGATTAAAAAGTTTATTATAGATTTCGGACAATGATATTTTCGCAGTTGGATGTTAATCAAACGCAGGTGGCAAATAGCATCGATCGTGTCAGGTCGATTTCCCATCTAAGGAAATTATTCCCTTGTATCGGTGAAACCCCATTAAACGGGTCTCTCGATTAGGTGGCCACGTCGCGAATGGATCGATCGATCTGGGTGCAAATATGCTACATAAACAGACTTGGATTTACTCACGAACGAGAAAGGGGTTGTTGCTTCTGCTTCTGCTTCTGCTTCTACTGCTGCTGCTGCTGCTGTTGCTATTGCTATTGCTAGTGCTCCGGGTAAGGTATACCTTTGAGAAATATAGAGTCAAGTGTATTGCTTAACGAGGATGATTTGATATCTTATATACATCGTTGAAAATTCTACAGACATTTCATCGTAATCCTATCTTTTTTTTTACTTCCATCACTTCATATCCAAATCGAGATTTATTAGGACAGATGATTTTACTTCGATTCATTTAACGTTTTTTTTTTTTTTAGAAAAAGAAAAAGAACATTTCAAAGAAACAAAATCTCTACCTGTCAGCCTACCTGTCTATCTGTCTGTCTATCTATCATTCTCATCCTTTCCATCTCTTTCATCATTTATCGATTTACGTACGCACTTGATTATCCCTTTAATACGAATTATTTATCGTTGTCCTTTTTCTTTTTTTAAATATCTACTGTAAAAAAAAAAAATAAGACACCTATACACATCCTTCTAAAATAAAATAATTATTACGTAACGTAATACAAAAGAACAATGACAACAACGACGACGACGACGACGACGACGACGATGCAACGTGTTTCATTGCCAAGAGCTTTCGAATCTCGGGGAACTGCTTGTATGTACGTTCAAGACCGCCAATCATGCTGATTGTCCTGATTGTGTCCGCAAGCCGTTTGCTCGCCGTTGCCTACGCGCAGTAATTATATTAGCTTTGAGGGAGGTCCAGGATTCTCTGGACCTCCTGTATATTCCTACCATTTCTCCCCTACGGCTCTTTATCGCGCTTCATCGCTCGTTTCTAGTAAACAGAACAAAGAGAATTGTCTGCTTCACAGAATGCTTGATTACTCTGTCTATATATATACGTATAAATATATATAATATGTATATCTAATTTTTGATCACACCTGTATATTTATTTTTATTTTATAATTTAATTACAAACGGGTATATATTATATTCACGTCACGTGTTCCTCTTAAAGCTCGCAACACCGCAAACAATCCGAATTTATTTTTGCTTAATGTCTAACATAATTATTCAAAATAAAAAAAACCTTTACCGAGATTGAATCCACACAAATTTTTGGTCAACACTTGATTTATATTTTTTTTTTTTTTTTATACTTGTTTAACAATATTTATCGATTGTCAATAATATCTGCTAAATAAAATAAAGGTAAAAAATATAATATAATACATATAAAATTAATCATTAAATAAAAGTTAAAATTAGTGTAAAATAATCATCTTGTATATATATAAATATATTTATATCCATCAAATAATATATATATTATATATATATATTATATCCATCAAAGTTGAGTTTGATACAAAATAAATGCATGGAAGTGAAAATAATCATATTCATTTTAAAAGCTAAGTAAAATTATCCTTATTCTAGTAACTTATATTTCATTGAAGTATCTTTCGATGTTATATTTGAAAATTCAGCTGACGAATACCAGCCACGTTGAATAATTTATGTCACGTAATCATACTATATAAAAATATGTTTCAATTCTGTTATTACACATCCATATCATAACATTACTATTTCGTGTATGAATAAAAAATTCGTTTATTATATAAATTGTAATGTTTTAAAACGTCGGAGAGAAACAAACGTATTCTCTCAATTTGTAGCTTTAATCTTTCAACAACAACGAAACCATTAATCATATGAGTAAAAAATCTTTCGATAATTGTTAATACAATTATTATCGAAATGAAGAATTTGTAAAATACAAAATTTTCAAATGGTACCTGATTCTATTATATATTTCCCATCTCTAATGATTTAATTGCCATTTTTAATGCACCTTCCATAGTTTTATTACCTCCAATGAAACGAGTCGTATGAACAAAAATGCAACCATCAATTCCACTGACTTTATCAAGTTCCGTTTCTCTTAAACCTCCCCACTTTTCTGGTAAACAAAGCCTGCACATTAACAAAATATATTACAAATAAATCTAATGTATCCTTCTTATAATAAAAATCAATTTCCAAAAAATACAATTAAAAAACTGTGAATACCTGGGTTCAAAACTTGATGGTCTTACAGAAACCGCTCTAACCCTACATTCACCAGAAACATCCTTAAAAATAACATATTTTATAAGAGGTTTTATATTATATTCTTTTTCTAACTGTGCTAAATGGTACTGCCACGGTGCATGTGTTTCTAGTAATATAATCTCTCCGCTTTTGTAGACCTATACAATTGAAATACTTTAGCAATATAACAATAATAATGATTTATTATGGACTTATTGTTTTCTCATGCATTTAAAGACAATTTTGTTTTTGTTCACAAACCTCATAACGATTTTTTAAAGCATCCTTTACAATATGTCTTGCTGGCAACCATATATATATACATTCGTTTACAGCGTGCATAAATTCTTCACCAACTAATTCAATAGCTTTTTGAAATTGTTCATCGATATTTACTGTATTACTGTTCCAAGCAGGATTTAATCTACCTACTCTTGAAGATATTCCAGTTGATATGTTATAACTACAGAATAAAATAACTTCATTTATAAATGATCATGTAAATAGAACAGTTTATTTGTTCGCTTGAAAACAAAAAATCTCGTTATACTAACGCAGGTTCTTCTTTGGTCATTGGTACTCCATTATCTATAGCATCAATTTCTCGAATTAACTTAAAATACACATTTTTAAATACTGCTTTAATAAGTTTCAAGCTCGTATTTGCAGGAGCCAAATGTTGTATTATTTCATAACCATAATGACAATAAATTAATCCTGCACTGCTTAATTTTATTGGACATTCGCAAGTAGGGTCTTTTAAAACAGTACTTAATGATTCATTAAAATCTCTGAAACGGTGATGATAAATAATAAATGGAATTATTCAATTTCAAATTATTCAATGAAAAAAGATATTAATGTAAAGAATCGTACCTCATATGATGATCATATCGACAAATGGAATGATCATATATTTTACCAACGTCTACAACAACATCACAAGTATCTAAAACGTTCTGATCGCGTGATCTGAAAATAAAATCATTGATTAAAAAAAAACAACTGTTCAAAATTTAATTTTATTGAAGGTTAAAAGTTATTTTATATACTATATTTATTATAGTATATAAAATATATTTACTATAGTTATATATATACTATATTTACCTTACAATAACTGCATCTTTATACTTTGGTAAAAGTTTTAATAAAAAAATAGCAAGCGCTTCATCACAATGGAAGGTACCATCATGTGTACCAATTTTGATTACTTTTTTTTCTGACATTTTTAATAACTTTAAAACTACATACGTTTATTGTATAAAGTGTTATAGATAATATTTACGTAAGCTAAATAAAAGATAAAATTTATTTAAAACGTTAACTCTCTAATAGCAAGAAATATTACTAGTAATGTCAAATTCCGCTAGAGGCATAACCGTCGCTAAAATTCTCGTCGCTAATTGGTCGGTAGAATAGTCGAAAATGCTGCCATTGACAACACGGCTGCAACGTTCTCTGATGACAAAACTTGAAACTTATAAATCACTAGACCAATAATATTAAATTATAACTACGAAGTGTTTCTGTATGAATAACATAAGAATAAAAAATACCTATAATGCACCAATAAAGTGCATAATCATTTGGAATAAAGTCACTAACGATTCTTCAATTTGTTTCCAACTTTGACATCATATTCTGTTTTGTGACATATCAAAAATTTGTACCGACGAGATATCCCACACCCTACATTTGTCAGCTGATCTTGTGACACAAATGGTGAAAGAAGGTATAATGCAGAATTCGGTTCAACCCTCGGAAAATAACGATGACAATGATAAAGTTGATTGGTATGGTTCTGATGATTGGAATTCCAATAAAGCTGGTAAATATGTCATGTTTATAAACAAAGAATATACATATCTCATATTGAATAAATGAAATTAACAATTCAATATATATTTTCTATATAATCAAACAATTATTTTTGTATTTTTTGTAGAATATGAAGATATTCATGAAAAGTTAGATGATTTACATTTCGTATTGGATTTCCTTGAGAAAAAGAATCGCATGATCCAGGCTGAACTAATGGAGCTGTTACAATCAAATCGTGAAGCTAGAAAACAATTTCAAAATGCATTAAATATAAAAAAATATGATAACCATATAAACGATACAGAAAAGATATAAAAAAAAAAAAATTTTAATATTTCATCAGTTTTATAATTATAACTTCTCTCGTCTATGTAGTTTTGGAATGTATATCGGATTACATTCGTTATATTAAAATTAACGGAAATGAATAAGCAATTATAACTCATACATGCATTAGCATATTAAATAATGGCTTTTACAATTAACTGTAATAGTTGCATAAAGGTACAACGCAATTAAAGATTGTACAAAAGTAATTTGATTTTTCTGAAATGCAATATTACTAATAATGGGAACTTTTATTTGAATTTGTTTTGTTAACATTTTGGCAAATCCTAAGAAAATATAAATTTAAATAAAGGATTTATTTAAAACTTTAAGTAAAGAATTATAATTTAAATAAAGGAATATATAATATAAATTTAATAAAGGAATAATTTTATTTTTTACTATTTCTACTGAATTTGATTGCTTTTATTTTCTAAGTAAAAGAAGGGAACTACGGTCGGTAAGTTATCGACAGTGTAACATGTTGGTAAATTATCGATAAGACAACTTGTAGGCAAGTTATCGACAGAGAAATTTTACGCTATTTTTCTACTTTTTAAATAGAAGAATATATATTCTCTTAAATTATTTTCTAAAACTAATTGACTGAATTTATAAAAAAAAAAATTATTTGAAATCTTATTTAAACTCGATAACATTGTAATCATTCTAACAATTACAATCATTAGCAATAAAATATTAAATATAAAACCTATAAATAATTATCATTATCTAACAAATTTTGATATAAGTAAAATAAAATACCAAGAGTTTCTTAAAAAGTTACTAGAGAAATTTACATGGCAAAAAAAAAATTCAAAAAAAAATATGGTCCCTCCTAAATGGTAACGTTGACCGTAACGGTCACTATAGTCATATAACTCATCCTAATAGTAGATGCACGTGTATGAGTGGGTGCATGTCCGAGCATAGGGTGATGATACGGGTATGGGATACACAGGGAACACAGGGGAAAACAGGAGCGGTCCGAGCAAGCAAGAGAACGAATAAGCGAATGAATGAGAGAGAGCAACTGCACCACTGTGAGTTGGAGGTCGGAGGAGTATATTGGCCATTTCCGCAGGAAGCTCTAGGTAACCTGTAACAGCCCGTTTAGGTTGAAACTGAACGTATTAGCGATCGCTACCGTTTCAGGACAACACAACACGAATAATACTTTTAACAATGGGTTCCAATCAATATTTAACCATCTACCTTTCAGATTTTATTTCTCTATAGGATTTCAATTTAATTCATCATTCAACACCAAACGTAACTCCTTACCTTGACATAATCTACCAATCTTGATTCAAACCACTCCTATTCTCAAACACCCCTATCCTTTCACACATATTCCAGAATCTTCCTTTTCTTTTTAGAGAATCCTATCATCATCTGGTGGTTTTGGTCATACGATCATTTAGGTGATCCTCTTCACTATGGGAATTGAGATTCAATATGGGTCGTATCGTTTTCAAGCTCATCGAAAAAAATTAATATTCCATCATATCTATATGTATAACAATAACAAACAATACATTTTCCCGTTCATTACGATAGACTGACGTGTATGCGCGTACGATCAGTAATTCACGTGAATCGAATAAAAATAAAAAAAAAATAAAAAAACAGCAACGTATGTATTACCAACCGATCACGTTCAATGAGATAAACGGCCGTTGTTCCCCGATCATAAACATAATTATTCATGGCAGTTGACGGATACGTCGAACGGAAAAAGATTATTTTTTATTTTATTTTTTTATTATTTCTTTTTTACCCGTCCCTTTTCTCATTTCTTTTTTTTTTTTTTTTTTGTTTCATTGACACAACATGAAAATATATGAAAATATAACGTACATCACCCACAACAGATAAGGAAAAAAAACCATTCCGTTTGTGTCCTCAGTAGTACGAGGGAGAACACTTCTTTTCAGTTTTAAATAGATATGCATCATTTTCAAAAGAACTATATATATGTACGTTCCTTTAGGGTAGATAATAGATTACTTTAGGGTCATTCAGGCCAAAGTACCAAAGTTATGCGACAGAGATCAAGAATAGTTATTTGGTACAATGGAGAACAAAAAATTCTTCATCTTAATAGATATACAATCTTATGAAAATGAATACACGTTTTCACTTATGGTTAATGTACTGGAAAACATATATGCGTCCAACGAAAACAATAATTCGCTAAATACTAAGAACACATATATGCGCTAATTAAGCATTACATTCCTATACCAATAGACCTTGGGGTTCGATATAGAAAGATATCTCATCCCATCATCGAGATCTTTCGGTGTTCTGATCATGTTCATCTCACTGTACCAACCAGACGCGTGCACTCACGCAAGTAAACAAGCTGAAGAAGAGAAGTATATCGCGTTGGTTATAACTATAACTAAGAATAACTACTACTACTACTACTACTAACACAACTACCAGTTCATCAATACAAGTAGCAGTACATCATCATTACTACTACTACAAGCAGCCACCCACCACCACCCACCTACCAACACCATTACAAAGCTTACTACTATCTGCTACTTAGGAGCTACGGAGGAGCATCGTTGTTTAAACGGAATCGGTCAAGCGAAGCGCCACGGATAAGCATCCAGGAAAGGTTCTGGGTAGTGGGGAATACAGTTGGCTACTCTAGTGGCCACTCGGAGTCAGTTGTTGCTCTTATGCTCGCCGGGCATTAACGTTCCCGGGTCAGATCCTACAAACGCGACCCAACCAAACCAAACCAACTGACCCAAACACTTGTTCTCCTTTTACTTTTCTCTATCATCTTTCCTATCAATTATTATCCCATTTCTCTGACATCGGTTTTTTATTATTATTTATATCGTGTTTTTGGGAAGAAAAAAGATCTGTCACAGTACAACAACGTTATGTGGAAAACAATTTTCAATGAATTAAGTTAATGTGTTAAAAAGATTTTAATGTTATATACAGTGTACCAACAATTTTTAAGTTTTGTATGAAAGAACTGATGGGGTGTTTTATTCGAGAAATTATACGAAAGAAAAGTTTTATTTACAAAGTGTGTCGATGATCTTCGATGTTATAATTTAATTCGAGTAATATTCGAATGAAAATACAACTAGATAAATGAATTCGTTTGTAATTGACAGCACGTGAAATTTACGATAATTAAAAAAAGGGATTTCGTTCTTAAAATTGCATCGAATTATAATCGGTGATGAAGAGAGGATTATTATTATTATTATGGATCTTATTGATGGTGTTGTTGGTGCTTGTCAGAAGTGTTGTGACGCTTCTGACAGAAAATATCGAAGATTGGGATGATCCAACGAGTTTTCAAAAACAATGTTCAGCCAAGTGTCCTGAGCTCGATTTAAATCAAGTAAGAATTTGTTCTAATTTCAAATTAAAAAAATAAATTACTTTTATATTAGGATGAATCAAAAAGTTCGTGCACTTTTAATATATTTCACAATGTAAATTTTACAAATAAGAAAATCAAAAGTAATATTTAATAACACGAACTTTGAATTCACCCTAAAAAGAATGATGTGATTATTATGCATCCAATAAATGTTTAAAACAACAGCAACAATATCATTGTATATATTATAAATTGAATTAGATTTCGTAAAAGAGAAAAATAATTAAAATAAAAAATAAAACTAGCATCAATACTATGATGTTGTTCTATCGAATTTATCTTCGATAGGGAAGTTCAAAGTTCCTCGTACATAAAAATATAAATGAAATAGAAGAATTTTGGTCTTGCAACAATAATAATAATAATAATAATAATAATAATAATAATAATAATAAAGGGCTAAAAAAAACAGTTATTTCTAACGTTGGTATAAAACGTTAAATGCAAAAATGGCGACTAGAGCGAAGGACGTATCAATTTAAACTCTACTCTTCATTCCTACGGCGTACCATTCCGTTAATTAACTTAACTATACGACGACGACAACGCATCACATCGTGGTCCACCACCACAACCACGACCATCAACCAGCAGCAGCCAGTGCACGTTTCTCGGTGAAAGGCAACCTTCCTTCCTTCCTTCCATCATCGAAATCCTAACATTATTCCATTTTTTTTTTTTTTTAATTATTTTTTTCTAACTTTATTCACAATGATGCAATGTGTCATACATGTGCAACCTGCATACGTTTATTTTCAAATGATCTGATATTGAAATAATTTGACATTTAATAATAATCCGATATTAATATAATCTAATTGATATAACCATGTGATATATTTAAATATATATTTTATGATAATTGAATATTATTAATTATTAATTTGACTTACGTTTAATATTGATTTACTAAAAATGTAATAAGCGTAACATTGTGATATGAATTATATCTAATAACGTATATTATTATTTCCAAACTTGAAAATAAGATAATATACGCTATTAAAAAACCATGCCGAAGATGCAACATCAAAGAAATCACATCATTTTTGTTTTTTCGTAATATCTTATCTGTACCATAAATCGTTCTTTCTACGTTCAATCTTATCTGTTCACGCGCATTCTTTTTCAATCCTTTCAAATAAATTGAAAATATAAAAAACAATATCCATATATATATGTATGTACTTTTATACAGAGAGATAAACAAAAAATATACAAGAGTACAAACACATACATACATACATACATACATACACTGATACAACGAAATACTTCTACTGACAATAATAGGATAATTAATTATAAACTAAGAACTAGATAAAGGAAGCAGTATAAATGCTCGTGAATAAACTATAATGTCACCGCGGGATAGTAATAGATAACAATAGTAATTTATATTGGATTTACCCTACAACAAAAATTGATCTTTATTGATAAAAGACGTAGTAGTAAAATAAATCTAACCAATTAAAATCTAACATACTTATCACTTAAATAATAATATAACAATCATATTATAAATTTTAATTATACTCATTAACATTCGATTGATCGATAAACTCATTTCGCGTATGGTGGTTAAAAAAAAAAAAAAATAGTATACTACACATGTATGTATGTATTTGTGTATGTATATTATTATCGAGAATGTAAATTATCTATCGTTTCTCTTTATCATGACCCGTTAAGGTCATGTTTAGTATTCTTTCTATGTATGTGTGATATTACGTAACGATCGGTAAAAGTTTAAATTACTATTGGGAACATATAAAACTTTAGTTAAATGATTTAGCACGAGAATTTGTCACGATTAATGTTCATCTTACTCATCCTAATGCATTCATTGATGCATACATATATATATATATGTTTTTTAGATCATTTTGTACTACAACCATATCAGAGAATGAAAGAGAAGGGGGAAGAATGAGGGTGGAGTGGGGTGAGATCGCGTGTTACAACTTAATGATGTTGTACTATGTTACAACGAACTGTTTTTAAATGGATACTTTTTATATCTGTTACAATCACGTTAATAGTTTTCAATGAAATAATATATAGTTATTAATCAAATTTATATCAAATGATTTTGAATAAACTTAGGATACCTTAGAAATTAATTAGGATGTCAAGTATTTGAAGTTTGTAAGATGGTTTTTTTCGGAAGCCAATTTTGTACCTTATTCGAAGCCAAAAAATACGTATAGAATCACGAGGTTAACTTCTTTTATATCCGCACACCTGGATTGTGATTTTTAGCAAACTAATATTACCTGAAAGAAGCAACTTACTGTATTATCTTTACTATACCATCACTGTTAATATGTGATCCAATAAGACTCAAGTAGAAAAACACTTATGAGATAACGAAATTGTATGAAACCTATGTTCTCGTACTTGAAAAAAAAAAAAATAAAAAAACAGTCTCTAAATAAACTATACTATTGAATAATGGGGAGGGGAAGGATCGTAATAACATACAAGAGCAACAGGTTAGGTTTCTGTTAAGCATGATTATTTCCTAACTGCATAACACTGATTGATCCATTGACTAATTCAAAATGATAGAGTATTGTTATATTTATATTACGTAAAATGAAATTTTACGTAAATGTTTTTCCCCTTTGATATATATATGTATAAAACTATTATTGTATTTCTACGTAGTATAGTGCATTGCAATTATCTTCATTATTTTATTATCTTGGCGCCGGTTGGAAATTGCATTAGAAATATTATGCAACGAATATTATTTCTCTGTCGAGTTTATATCAACTGATATGTCAACTACATTTCAATCATAACTACAAACTATATTTACGTCATACATATATAATTGAGATTTTTTAAATTAATAATCTACTATTGCAATTATCATTTATTATTTTCATATATATATATATTTAATATATAATTCTAAACTAAAATATAAAAAGTAAGGTTAGTTATATCACATATAAATTTAAAAAAATTGAATTGTAATACAGTGTTATCTATTGAAAATTTACAGTAAGTGAAGACCTAGATAACCTCTAAAATATAAATCCTTAAATTAGCGATAAAAAATAAAAAATAAACGCGATAAAAACTATCCAATATGATATGATATTGAAAAAAAAAAAATTACACAAACATCAAGATCGTTTTAATAATTTCTAAGTTTATTGGAAACCAACAATGTGACATTGAATTTTTATATTTTAAATGATATTTTACATTACTAATTAGTGTAAAAAGAAAAAAAAAGAAAGAAGTGACATAGTTGAAGGGTGACTATAATATACTAGTCGAGTAAAATTCCTTGCAATTAACCTCTTTCTAACATCCAACACTCTAATTAATTGTTAGAGTATGCTTATGCGAAATAAAATGTTACTTATATAAAGGTAATATCATGAATATTATATATACATAAATATCATTAAAAAAAAAAACTGAAAAAAATATAAAAAGTATGTAGTATCATCATATGTACGCGTAACTTTATACAATGGACTTCCTGTTGCTTGGCTATACTTTGAAGCTTCCAACTTTTGTGATTCCTCAAAACACATGCACTCGTATAAAATAAATTTTGTACAAATGATCGATAAAATAAAAGATAATCTTTAAAGTCCCCATCCCGCAACCCTGACGCAACCCAGACTTCATTGAAATGTGAGTTCGGTCATTTAATTTTAATTGATGAATAATAAACTAATAATTCACGATTTTATTAATGATAGAGTTATCCGATTGGTTTTAAAGAAGAAAAAAAATAAATCTTTGAAAATATTGAACTAAATTCTTTGATGTTAAAATAAAAAGGAAAACTAGGTCGTCACCTGCATCGCTTATGGTACTTGTTGTACATTAACAACTTCCGTCGGCACGATTGAAGTCATCCAATTGCATACCTCCCGAAAAAGTAGAACGACCATTCATGTTAATAGTTTCTAGCGAATCAAAAACGAACATAATTCGTAGATATTCGAAGTCATAAATTTCAATGCAAATGAAACAAAAAGAAAATCAGTAGAATCCACCAGGTAGAGGAAGAGAAGTAGGGGTATCAAAAACATAAAAAAAAAAATAGTTTTTTAAAATAAAATAAAGAAAGAGAAAGAGAGAAAAGTTCAACCCACACACACGCGAGATCGTAGATTTACTCTTAACTAACATTAATGCGTTTAGACGGGTCCTTTTATACGGGTCGTCGCACTTTCCCTTGAATTTAAGAGAATTTACTTTATAATGGATCCTAATCTATCTTACTATGGTATAACATTAATCATTGATATGATGGATATATTATAATCATCATCATCTTCATCTACTTCTTCTTCTTCTTCTTCTTCTTTTTATTACTCTTTATTTTCTTTTTTTTTTTTTGAATTTATTTAAAACGTTAAGATTATTATAAAACACATTTGTTAATACAATATCTCGAAAATATTTTTTTACCAAATTTATATTACCCAAAAAAAAAAAAAAAATAAACAATATCAATCACGAATAATTGAAATCTAATGAACATAAAATATCATTTATTTAAACACTTTGTGTTGTTGTTGTTGTTTATTTATAAAACGATAGCCTCTTGTGCCGCAATGAATCTTACGATAATTAATAAAAACTTCAACGCAGTTCCCCCCTCCCTCTCTCTCTCTTTCTTTATTATTTTTTTTTTATTTATTTTTATGGATCACGTTGAGATAGTCTGGCTCCGCATGCTGGCTGACTGACTTAGTTGGCCTTGTTGAGTTGTTCCACTTAAACGAGATATTTCATTATATCTCGATGGATGATTTAAAAAAGAAGAAGAAAAAAGATAATTTAAATCAAACTCGAAAGAACCGAACGAATTATTTATACGAAACTTTATTTCCGAACGTTATTGTAATTATTTCTCACGTGAAATCCTGCGGGCAAAACCCTATAGACTTTCAGAAAGGGTAGAGCTGCTACAATGTGTTCCAGTCCGATGATCACCGTCCGGTATATATTCTATACCGTACACCCGTGTCTGGTCTTCTCATCCGAGAATTTGAAAAAAAAAAAAAACAAATAACCTGACACCGGTACCATGCAAATCCGAGTAACCGTAATTCACAAATTTCATCCTCCCCACCTTTCTTTTTTATTTGTAAATATCCTAATCACGTACGTATATAGAATCATTAAATATGAAACTTAGGATTATAAAAATAAAATCGTTTAGAGAGAGAAAAACGATAGGTTTGTTGCAAATCTTACAATTAGTTAATACAAATGTTATTCAACGATAATGCGTAGACTCGTCTACTATAAACGCCGAGACGTATGCGTGGGTTAACTAACGGTGTATATTTCAATGCACATTTCCATAATCTGTAGGTTAATCTTTCTTGATATGCACGTAATATTTCGTGTAACAACGAGATTCTTAATACATTAAACATGAATAACGTATAAATCATTTCGTTGGCTTGGAAATTATGTTAACAATCATTAACAATTATTAAAACGCTGCAATAAATTATCCCTTTAAAACCAATTATTATTATTATTATTATTATTATATTATTATTCCTATAAAAACGTTTCAATAATCCCACCTAATCGTTTCTTAGAATTTTCTTGAAGACGTAGATAAGAAAAAAAGAAGAATAAAAAGAAGAACAAGAAGAAGGAAGATGTCTTTAAAACGGATGTTACGAAATAAATAATAGGATAATTATTTATCAACGTTTTACAAGGTCTCTCTCTTTCTAGCTTTTTATTTTTCATCTTCTATCCGATGCACCTGTTGTTCTTCGTTAGACACTTCCGTAGAACAGGTGTACGTCCGCCGTTTAACCTACGTAACCGTTGACACGCAGTGTTTCGGATCCACCCTACACCCCTCTACCTTTTTTCAAGGGGTCTTTCCTTCCCACCTCGTTTTAATTTAGGGGAATTCGTGAGTTTTCGTTTGAGTTTTAAATAGCTAATTAATTCAACAATTATCAATCCCCATCCACCCCCTACACCACCACCACCACCACCACCATCCTCCTTTCACTTGTATAGCTGTTTTCATTCATTTTCATTCATTTTCTCATTCGGAAAATTCCACCTGATTTTACCCCACTATCAAAAATGAGAAAACGTGTATCGTCAGATCTTACTCCTACTTCTTGATACAACTTAAACGTAATTCTACTATTCTGTCCACTCACAGAAAACGATCGTACGTAATGGCGGATAAAGACAGAAATATACGTGGCGGTACTTTATTTTATGCAGCTGTCCCATTTATGATACGGGATCGAGAAAAAAAATGAAAGAAAAAGAAGGAATGTATCATATTGTACGATGTAAGAATTAAGAATTGAGTATATCTTTTTTTTTTTAGTATAATTGTTGTTCTTGATATTTTAATTGCTTCGTTTTAGTACTTTACGTTTTAATTTGTAAAATTTTATTTATTTTTAAAATATTGTCGGTATAATTTCTTTGATCCTTTAACTCCTTTATCTTTTTTCTTATTATTTCTTTTGAAAATACTTTTTAACTCGTAAATTTACGTTTATACGAGTATGTTGCCCTTTTTTAAAAAGAAAATTTTTGTCGTATCATTTAACTGTATAAATTTGTTTGCATAATGTACACACGCACAGAATAATATTAATAATAATATACGTCTGGGTGATTTTGAGAAAACCATAGAAAAGGGGTGTGAAACCGAGCGTAGATCATCGTACACAGCTTAACAAACCAACAAACGTGTTAGTAGTTCGATAAACGTGAACCACGTGTGAAATATCGACCTTGATGTGAGTTCTCATAAAAGTTGCATAATGTGCAGATCGTAATGGTGATACCAATTAATTCTAAAACGAAACTTATCGATTTGCGAATTAAACGAACAATAGCAAAGAAAATTTAATCTGTGTGAGAACAGAAGCCATTTTTGGCTACATCGTATACAGTTAAATATCGTATAACAAATGTAAATTTCTTTTGCAGTTTCACACGGAGGACAGTAGCCCGGAAGTGGGATGCGGCGTAAGATGTAAAATCGAACAGGTTGGTAAACACAGGCTTTTTTTTTATATTTTATATTTTATAAGACAAAATCAGAATGAAACACAACACACATACCTTATAGTTGACACCTTTTTATCTTCGTTTGATTCAAGAAGACAAATGTCTACATTTCGGGTTAGGAGTACCGAATAAAAAAAATTAAAAAAATTGAAAAAAATGTCTACCTAACATGAACGAACAACAACAGATTGGAGGGCAAACATTGAAGGGATTGATTGGTCCCTCGTTGAAATAGAAGTACTTCCGCTGCGTCGTACCAACGTTGGTAATCACTGGAACCCCTTTCGGTAACCGTTAAAAGTATAGAAGGGATACTAAACGGGCAAATAAAAAGAAAGATGCGCTGACATTATTTTTTTCTCTCTTTATTTTTCTTTCTTTTTCCTTCTTCCTCTCCGCTCGCTCATTTCTGATACGCTTACATAGCCACGAGCATAAGTATATATGGGGACAAGTAAGTGTGTACGCATGTATGTGTACATGCATGAGAGAGAAAAAACAACACAGAGCACCGTAACTAAATAGGATTGCGTTCCAATGTAACCTCTCCTATGACGGATGCCGCCAAATTGTCCTGCGGTTCTGACTGCCCTTCCGATTCTTTCATTATTATTATTATTATTATTATTATTATTATTACTTTTTTTCTTTTTAATTTTTTTTTCTTTCCCTCCCCCCTTTAGTTCCCTTTTTGTTTTCTACATATCCGTTTTGGTCATGTGTGCTATCTTTATTACTTAATATTTATCATATCCTTTCGTTATATTATTTTTATTCTACGACTACCCCCACTATCCAAATCAATGAAATAAAAAAAAATCATAGATTATATTTATTTTATAAAAAATATTTCTCATAGTCATCTCAGAACATTCAATCTCGATCGATCATCAAATTTATTTCTCAACTCGATTCAATTTTACACGGTTACTTTACTTTTTCGAATTGTGCTGTGGGCAATTTAAAGTTATACGGGCTAATCCTATCCATTCCGTTGGTAAACATCCATGAGAATTATATATTATATATATATATAAACTTATTGAGAGAGTAATTATGAATGAAATCTTTGTGAATGAAATTCCACACGTTAAATACACGTTACATCGTAATGCGTATAAGTAAGGGAAGGAAAGGGGAGTGTGGGTGAGTGAGTGTGACAGAAAGGATTGGAAAGGAAAGGAAAGTACAACAGGAAACCGGAAATAAAATCAACAACGCGTATCTCCATAGTAAAATAAAAAAGAAAGGAATCCTCAACCCTATCCCCTCCCTTAATAAGAAACAAATCGGTAATAAATCCTAGTCGTTGAATAAAATTAGGTATAAACTATTTTAAAAGATGTTATCCTCGAAAGTAACTATAATGGGGCTTCGTACTAGAAGATGACATCCACGAAAGCCATTAAAATGGCGTGTACTGCCTAAAAAGATTAGAAATGACTTAAGTTAGGTTAAAAGAGAAAAACTAGAATCGAGCGGATAGTCAGTCAACCCATCCCGTCCGCGGGTTGTATGATTTACGATCTGTCGGGAGTCGAGAGAAGAGGCTTCACGACAGGGGAATAATATGTGTCGAGGATTTAATGAGGAAGTGAGAAATTAGTAGCTGTTGCGTCGAGCCAGCCGGTACTCTGATAGTCCTCTTACCACGATCACTATACACATATACACACACAACACTTTCATAAAATGTACATGCTATTATCTTTCAAAACAAAATATTTTCCTTTTTTTTTTAAACCTAAAGTCTTTATTTCCCTCATTATCTTCTTTTTTTCATATTATATATTATTCTTTCGGAATGAAAAAGATTGGCAAATTTTGTACAACAAAAATCAAAGAATTCTATTCAATTAAAGAAACTTCATAAATATATTTAATACTATATTTATACGTTTTATATCTCAATGTATGTGCAACATACGATCTTGAAATAATCTCTTGAAAAATCAACCCATGTACAAACTACATTCATTATATCATTTCAAGTAAGTCTATGGCAGTACTTTGACTTCGGGTCAGTGGTTTTGTTCATTTATATATATATATATATATATATATATATATATATATATATATATATATATGTAGTGTTTGTAATATATCTGTATACTAATTCTTGTACATATATATGCTTTTGTATGAATCACATCAAGTTTGTTCCAACGACTGTCAATAGAGTTTTCTCTTTCTCTTTTTACAAGTAAAAGTACAAAGTGATTATTAATAATAACTATTATCTGCGACACTTGTGAAAAAATGCTTTTCTTCTTCGTAGACGTTCTGACCTACGCGATACCCTTTTATGATTGACTATAAACATTTGCCGTGTTAGACGCATACATATATATACAATAATATTTACATATGATTTAAAAGTGAAATACATTTCGTATGAAAATAAAAATAAACCATTGATGAAAGAACAAAAAAAAAAAAACATCTCACTTACGTTAAATACAAACACGTAAAATTAAGGTTGAATAATTTCTATTTCCGACGATTCTCACGGTTGGTTTACGATGTACGATTATTGAAATTGAAAAGAGACAACACTTTTACACGAAGTATTAAATAAAACTTTTCCCACGATTAATATGTTTTGTCGTTTTTTTTTTACAGTGTACCAGAGGATGCGAGGCATGGCAACAAGCACTCGAAACGAGTTGTCAAACAGTTTGCGTTAGTATGATTGTTCAATTTTATAAATCTAACGGATAATAAATAAAGTTTACTCTTTCAATCAAACCTTTAATAATATTCGTATTTTTTTATTGAATACAATTATATCAATTATATATAATAATTCTTATTTTATTACAGAATGGAACGCAAGAATTGTTACCACCTAAACAATTGTATTGCGTATTGGGTTGTCACGATGCAATGAATCGATACGCTCAACAATATAAAGGTAAATTCACAAATAAAACCTTTAATATCATATTTTTCTCTAGTATAGTTCCTATTTTTGTTTGTTGATCAAAAATTCGCAAATTCTTTAGCATAACGATCAACAACATCTATCCTTAAAGGTTCCTCATCATAAATACTGAAATTACTCGTGTCACCTGGCATACCACATTTCGGTATAAACGAAGGTTGTATTGTTTGATAATAAATTTGATTCCAATCAGTCGTACGAAACCATCGATGCATTTTAATATCAATAATACCATTTTTTAAATTCCCATATCTTTTGGTTAAATCCACTTGTAACATATTCTTAACTATATCTCTAAGATCATCACCAAAATGATGAGCATACTTGTATTTACCAGTTATAATCTTTTCATAAATCTTCATCGGATCATTTGCATAAAATGGGGGATAACCGGCATTCATTTCATATATGAGTACACCGAAACTCCACCAATCAACAGCTTTGCCATAACCTTTTGACAATACAATTTCTGGTGCTATGTAATCAGGTGTACCACACAATGTCCATGTTCTACCTTCAATCATTTTGCAAAAACTAAAATCAGTGACACGAATATAACCCGTATATTCGATCAATATATTTTCCGGTTTCAAGTCACGATAAATCAAGCTACAATGATGCAAATATTCCAAGGCCAATGCAACTTGTGCAGCATAAAATCTTGCCAATGATTCGTCGAATCTTCCCATACGTCTCAAATGCGTAAACATTTCACCACCACTTACGTATGGTAACACCAAATAAAGATACGAATTATCCATAAAGAAAAATTCCATAAAAACTATAAAAGGATATTTAATACATTGCAAGACTTTTTTCTCGTTGTATGCGTGTTGGATTTGTTTCAACTTCACTATCCGTGCCTTTTGTAATATCTTCATGGCATAAAAAACTGATGTAGCTTTGTGTTTAGCCAATATGACACGACCAAATGCACCTGTACCAACCGTACGTATACGTTCGAAATCATTCAACATAGCATTGTGTTCTTGTTTTTCTTTCCACTTTTTTATAAATATCGTTTTCAATTCGTCCAATATTACGTTGTATTCTTTCAATTTTTCCAAACGTTCTTGCTCTTCCATGTCATTCCTCGTGGATAATTTTTTATATCTCCGCCATGAAACATTGAACATTTACCGATTGAAAAATTACAGAATTCAAACGTGCATATGGAAATATTTTTTTAAATGAATAAATATTATTTTCTTCTTACTTTATTGTTCTTTTTATTTTGACAGATCGTTGCTAAGAAAAATTTATTAAACGATCTGAACATACAAAACAGATGTGACATTTTTAAACAGTGGAAAGTTAATATATCGATGGTTCATTGTTTCATGGTGAACGATCAAAATACTCTGCATTCGAAGCTTGGTTTTAAAAAAGTTTCACTTCTAACACGTGTGATCTGTACACATAATCGAATAGTGTTGTTTTATTGTTGAAATAATTAGCGAAGATAGGAGTACCTGCAGCACCCGCACTGGTGGCCGATTCTTTGACGGCAACCTCCTTGAGATTAGAATGGAAGGACGTTAATATAGATCGACGTATCAGTGGAATATCTTATCTAGTGCAATGGAGGTACGAGGAATTGGTTGAGACATGGCAATATTGTAGAAATCAAACGTGGGGTGAGGACGATCAAATATTGGTGGAAAATTTACAACCATATACGAAATACAGAGTAGGTTTTTTTCATTATTTTTTCAACGATTCTAATTTGAAAAGAAAATTAATCAAATATTTGAATTGCATTGTTTTTTTGGAACAGTTTCGCGTTGCTATGATATTAAAATGGACGCATAATCCAGAACCAATAGTTTCTGCACCCAGCGTGGTAATATTAACATTAGCTGCTGGTTTGCCATCGTCACCACCGGTAATTGTAAGGGCAGCGGCTGTTGACAGCTGCCGTGTATCTGTGTCTTGGGAACCAGGCCCTTTTCCAAATGGGCCACTTTTGTCTTATGTACTGCGTCTGCAAGGGGCTGATCATTCCCAGCTTAAGGTACACGCCACGCCAGAATTCGAAATCTAACCAACCCCATACCACCAATCCCACACCTCTACTCAATAAATTATTACAAAATAATGAAGAAAAAACACATCCGTAAATCTAGTATTAATCGTAATAAAAAAAATGACATTTTCGCTCGTTCATAATACGGTTTGCTATGGGAAATTTATAGAGAATCATTTTGCATGTATTTTTATTCAAATTCGATTGAATTTAAGGGTCAATTCATATTTAATCGATTGATACAAATGGTTAATAAAATACTTTGGAAACAAATATACACTAATATATATTTGTTAATAATACATTTTATGATTTATCAAATCAAAATTTCCCTTACGACACCCATGTTTCTGGCATGGCGTTTTTTTCCCCCACAAAGCGCATCCGGGTAAATCATCTAACATAATTGGGCTGATAACGAGATTCTTGCACGATTTTGATGTATATAAACCGAACCATTTATATAAACCTTATAATATATCAACAGGATATACCAGCATCAGAAAATACGGATCATTATATGTTTCAAAATCTCGAACCAAATAAAACTTATTCAGTAAGTGTAACGATGCGAAACAGTGTAGGTGAAGGGCCACCTGCTACGATTCACATATCAACCAACCCAGAACCTACAGGTATGTATTATTAATGTACATTTCATAATTCGAATTCAATTCGAATTAAAAATACAAAAAGTGGGTTCTTCTCTCTAAAAAAAACAAAATTCAGTCAAGGACACGGAACAACCAATTCTAATACTCGGTGGTGAACACGTTGTGATGAAACAAGATGCCGATATGTTGGACGAACCCAGTGTCATTTATCGAACATCCAGTATAATTCGTGGCGTAGCAATTCACGTTGCTTCTGCTCAATTATTCGTTTCGGATTCGACTGGATGCATTTACAAAACTTCGATTTTAGAACCATCCAAAAGAATTATGATACTTAGCCCTAGCGAAGCTAATTTCAAACCATTGAGTTTATCAGTCGATTGGTTAAATTTACAATTGTACGTATTGGGTGAGGTTAAACATTCGACGACAGTTTGGCAAATAGCAAGATGTAATTTGGATGGTAAAGGTTTAACAGTTGCCATGGCTGGTTTTTTGACAAGACCTTCACACATTGAAGTAGATCCATACAATGGTTATCTTTTTTGGGTAACCAGAGGTGGATTGTACAGATTGGATTTGGCTGATATTAGTAATGGAGTTAAACACGAGGTAAAATAATACAAAATTAATTAATATGAAAAACATCATAAAAAAAATGTTTATGTAATCGAATGACAGGTTCAGCCGTATCTAATACTAGAGGATGCACATTTAGGAGCATTTACCGTAGATCATACGAATTTCCGATTACTGGTACCCCATCAAACGGAAAATACCGTAATGTCCGTATCGCTTGACGGACGTGAAGTATTAAACTTGCGTGCCAACACGCAACAACCTAAATTCAAGAACGTATTATCCTTGGCTATGGCTAATGGTCTATTTTATTGGACCAATGGGGAAGAGGTTTTAACTGAGGGCTATCATTCAGGACAAAACCGATACTTTCATAACGCATATCCGGACAGGTGCCAAAAGATTAAATATACCTTTTTATAACCTGTTTAAGTCTAAACACAATGTGTGATATTTTTTTTCCTTTAGATTGGATGGTTCGTTCGTAAGCGTGAACGTTTTAATGGACGCAAGTCAACCGGTTCCAGTACCAGTAAACCCACCTACCGGTGTACAAGCAGTTTTAGGTGCTGAAAGGGCCAAAGTATCGTGGCAGGTGCCACATTTATTAGGTGGTCAGGGTAAAGGTGCATGGCAAAATTGGTCATACGAATTGGAGATTAAAGACGAGTCTACCGGTGAGACTATTCGTCAAAATGAAATAGCTGGTTCATCACACACGGTATACAATTTACGAGAAAAATCCAAATATTCGATCAAAGCGGCTGCTTACACGACTGCTGGTAGAGGTCCATGGTCAACCGAATTTCGTGGACGTACATTGAGGTAAGATAATCCATCCGTACACTTTGCTTACCCAATAAGAAACCTTCAATTTTCGTAGATAAACATTATTTTGAAACAATTAGGAATGGATCGCGTGCATCTATCTTATGGTCGGCTAACGAGGGTTTATTAAAAAGTGACGTTACCGGTGAAAACATTGATACACTGATTTACAAAACTAGCTTAAAACAATCGGAAAATATTTATCACATAGTTGACGTCAGTTGGTACAAAGATATGTTATATATCGTTGGAAATAATTCTGCATTGTATCAATACAACATTACGACACATGTTAAAACTAAATTGAACATTCATTCGGTTGGTAGCGTGGCTGTTGATTGGATATCAAAGAAATTATATTGGGCTAATCCTAAACAACAAATTGTAAGAGATCATCCTTTTTTTCATTTATAAATAAGAAAATAAAAATATGATTCAAATGTAATGCATAATTAAATGATTGCAGATAACAAGAGCTAACTTGAATGGCACTCAACAAGAACCCATGTCAATTTTAGCAATAGTCAAAGAACTTATGATCGATTCTTTAGAAGCTTACTTGTATTGGTCGACTGGTCATGCTGTAGAAGTGGCACGTTTAAACGGACAGGACAGAAGGTATTATCACTCTGATGAGATATTCAATGGTAAGCAAGTGATGGGTTTAACGTTGGACACAGAACATCGTTATTTATATTGGATAGTAAGAAGTTACGAAAGTGGTTCCATAGTTTATCGTGCACCAACATCTGAAAGAATACCGATGGATCAAAAGATCATACCGGAAAAAGTTAGTTTAATTAACAAATTAAAATCCAACAATACAAACAATTGTTCCAATTATAATCAAATGATATTTTATTTTTAACAGGTATCAGCACTGCAACACCCAAATATTCAAGGACCACTCTGTTACTTTTCGGAACACCTATTGTGGTTACAGGATGACAGAAATGCAGTAATTGGTGATTTATTCGGACAAAATACTGCGATTATTAATGGTATCACGTTGTCGGGTTTAAGAATGGTAGCTGTCATGGATCCAGCACTTCACGGTTATCCGAAAAATCTGACGTCAGAAAACGTTGTAGTTTTACCCAATGCAGTTGATTTGGATAGTATCAGGGTGGAAGGTAATTCGGGTAAATTCAACGTTTCCTGGGATCCTGTTGACAATATCAATTATGGAACAGTTTTTTACGAAGTTAAATTTGTCGATTACATCAATACCAATTCGAATCCTGAAATAACCAGTGAAACTTCAATGCCGTATAATAATTCAGAACGTATTGAACCGTATTCGTTGTTGGAGGTTACTGTTAAAGCATTCACGTATTGGGAAAGTTCACATCATTCTAGAAAAAAATTAAGATCACCACAAAGTATTCCATCAGAACCAACGAATCCAAGATTGTTCGTGGAAAATCACAAAGAACCTCTTAACGACAAAATGGAAACTTCTGTTAAATTTAGGTAAAAATGAAAACTACCAACCATTTATATTGGTTGAATACTTATTTTTAATTATAATTGAATATAATTTACATCACATTTGTTACAGATGGAATAGACCCAAATTTGAAAATGGTGTGATATTGGGTTACACAGTTCAATGTTGGTTCAACGAAATAGCAAATCATACTGACATACACGTTTGCGATGAATCAAACGTACCAGCTGATACATTAGAATACAAAATGAATTATTTATCTGCCAACGTGACGTATTATTTTCAAGTACGTGCAAGAACGATCATTGGACCTGGCCCTTACACCGATGTAATTGGTGTATCAACTGCGTATGAAAATCCTGTACCGCAATTGTTAGTCGCAACTATTGACACCATTAACATAATCGATTTGGATCATAGTACGAACAATCGTACAATTGCACGACAAGCAATCGTTGAAATAGATTTCTTAGCTGCAGATGATCATATTTTTTGGATCAATAAAATGCAAGAATTAATTTTGTACGATTCAAAGAGAAATCATGCAAATAAAATTTTGACACTTAACAATACTGCATACAGTTTATGCGTTGATTGGATAGCCAAATATTTGTATTGGAGTGAAACTAATGAAAAAGAAAACGAAAGTCGTATCTATAAATTGGATTTATCTATGTTGCAAAAAAATATTTTAACGTTTCGTCCAATAGTGATTAGAAATGAACGAATCGTTAAATTAAATGTTTTACCATCTTCAGGGTAAGACGAAATTAAATATCATTGGTTATTGCATTCATAAAAAATATATTTTTAAATGTAATAAAAAAACTTTTGTGTTTGTTTAGATCTTTATACTGGATAGAATCAACGAAGATTGATCATGGGATAATAATGCAATCAGATCTTTATGGTGAAAATATTCGACCTTTTTTTAATCAAATGAGAGATTGTTCATGCCCTTATCAACCAATAGTTTTGCCAATAATGACAATAGATAATACAGAAACAGAAAATCCACTTCTCTATTGGGTATCACCTGAAGGTTATTTGTACGTTTCCGATATCGATGGATGCATCTGTGATATGATAATGGATCCAGGTTTGAATAAGGGTTTAACATTTGCATTATTAACGGTTGACAAGATTAATATTTATTGGACTAATAATATTGATATGAAACTTTATCTCGTTAAAAAAAATTTAACGGAAGAAAAAATCATAGATTTTTATTATACTCCACACGTACGAAGTATCAAAGCATTGGGTAAATCATTGCAACCTTATCCAAACCCGGAATGTTTGATGCCACGTAAAATGTCTTACAATGTTGATGAATTGAAAAAAACAGCTAACAGTATTACCGTACGATTACCTGAACCTTTTCCATACGATGCTTGCAAATCTTACAATTTACCAAAGACATTATACATTATGAATGTTTATGAATGTATTGAAAATAATTCGCAAGAATGTCATGACAGTTTCGACAAAGTTGAAGAAACTAAACAATACGAAACTTATGACGATGAATATACGATAGAACATTTGAAACCATTTACGCGTTATTTGATAACATTAAGTTTGGCCAATACCTACACGGAATTGAATCAAACTAATTTGGAATTTAGTTCGGGTATTGTATTGACAACCGGTGCTGGTGCACCTAGTGCACCGGAAAACGTCACCGTCAAAGTTCTTACGCCAACATTGGCAGCCGTTTATTGGATGCCACCGAAAATATTTAATTCACCTGCAGTGAGTTATGAAATACATTGGAAATCTGATGGTTTGATAAATGGGGTTAGACAAAAGGGTGAACAATTAGTAAAAGATACAGAACGTATTAATAATGATAAACTTATGGCAATGTTGCAACCATTATTACCAGGACAAGTATACTTCATATCGGTTCGTGCTTATCCGGCACATTTTAACGAAGTTTTTAGCGAAAGTGAGAAACAAATGATTAGTATGTATCCTGAACCAAATAATTTAACATTAATATCGGCAACCATAAATGGTTTAAATTTATCCTGGATACCAACGATTAATCTAACGATCAGTTATATATTGGAATACAAGGATGTTGCACAGGAAGAATGGCGTGTTGCAAATGAATCTGAATATGATCAAGGAAAAGTTATTTATAGATTGAAAAATTTGCAACCACGTACTTTATACAAATTTCGTTTGTTACTTCGATATCCAAATTATGATCAAGATTTTATATGGTCACCCGATGGTAAATCTACTTTTCAAACTCAAGGTGACGTACCGAGTGCACCAGGAATACCAAATTTAATTATAGAACGCAACTCGGTATATCAATTAAATTGGGACGCTGCACAAGCACACGGTTCTCAAATTACAATGTACCGTTTGGAAGCTGAAATAATTGATGGCCAACAATCATATGAAACAACAATGGCAACAATGACAACAACAAACAAGAGCAGTCACGAAAATTGGACATTATGTTACAATGGAACGGACAATTATTGGACAATCAAGGAAGACATGAAACAAAGATACAGATTTCGCGTTAGTGCAAAAAATAGTTATGGTTTTGGTGCTTTTAGCATAAGCGACGAAATCGATTTGACCAATTCGGCAATCGGTGGATTGATAGAGGATCAACAATCGTTAGGATTAATTTTAGGTTTTACTATACCGGTCATTGTATTCGGTTTAGCTTGTTTTTGCTACTTTGTATGTCGTAAGTTGATTTACAATTCTTCTTTGATATTGATTGAGATTGTTTTTGTTTAAAACAAAGTATTAACATTCAATATTCTTGTTTTTTAATAGCCTGCAGACAACGTAAAGACGATAAAAAAGAAGTTTTATCACCAATTGTATCGGACGTAGAATTAGCAACGTTACGAGAAATACCTCGCAGTAATTTCGTACAACCTAATGCACTTTATGCGTCAACCATGCAAAACGATCCGGATGATTCAATGTTACCAAAAATAAAACGAGAACAAATTACATTGGCTAAATTTTTAGGCAGTGGTGCATTCGGAGAGGTCAATAAACCTGACAATACTTTAACATACTTCACTTTCTGAATTTGTTATAATGAAAATATCCATTTTTTTTATACTCACAGGTATTTCAAGGAAATGCAAAAGAATTGGATGGACCTGGAACTGTAACACCTGTTGCTGTAAAGACACTTCGAAAAGGTGCAACGGCACAAGAAAAGAGTGAATTTTTGCAAGAAGCAAGACTCATGAGTCATTTCCGACACAAACACGTATTAAGACTTTTGGGTGTTTGTTTGGACATAGATCCGCCATTGTTAGTTTTAGAACTGATGGAAGCCAGTGATCTGTTGAGTTATTTGAGAGAAAGTAGATCCCTACAACCTACAGATCCTTATGCATTACGTTTACAAGATCTTTTAGCAATGTGCGAGGACGTAGCTAGGGGTTGTCGATATCTCGAAGAACTTCATTTTGTACATAGAGATCTAGCTTGTAGAAATTGTTTGGTATCGACGAGGGATCGTGAAAATCGAGTCGTCAAAATTGGTGACTTTGGTCTGGCCAGGGACATTTACAAGAACGATTATTATCGAAAAGTAAGTAGATTAAATCTAAAAATAAAAAAATTACAAATGATGATTAAACATTGATTTTTACTTTATAGAAAGGTGAAGGATTACTTCCAGTACGTTGGATGGCACCAGAATCCTTGATAGACGGTGTATTCACATCTCAAAGTGACGTATGGTCATTTGGAGTATTAATGTGGGAAATAACTTCATTAGGACAACAACCTTATCAAGCTAGAACAAATTTAGAAGTTTTACATTTAGTACGTGCAGGTGGTAGATTACCACAACCATTAAATTGTCCATTGGCGTTGCATCATTTGATGTTGTGTTGTTGGAGTGCTGCCGATAATAGACCAAGTTTTAAAACATGCGTAGAACATATCATAAATCTTCGTAAAAATACTCAAGATGCTGTATTAAGTCCTGTAAATGCTGGTCATTGTTTGGTACGAAGAGGTGAGTCAATGAAAAAAATAATCATTCGTTATAACATGCTTACAAATTATGCTTAAATACATCATGCGTCAATTGATCATATGTGTTATCATATTTTATATACAGGGTCATTTAAACTTACATTAGAAATATTACATTAGAACCTGTAAGTTTGGGTCTCATCCTGTATATATATAAAAATAATATTTCATTAAATACTCCAAATAACGTTTTCCACGATTTTGTTCATTACTATCGTTACTATTGTTGCACGATCGTTATCAAATTAATTATTTTGCACGTTCGATGCTATTTCAAAATTTACTATACTTATTATTTATAATACCGATCCTTTATATCGTTTCAAATTCATGTTTTAATATACGCTTGGAAGCTTATTTTCATCATACGCTAACTTCTTCCGTCTCCACCCCACCTTCCAGCCCTCTTAGCCCTTCAATGTGAAAAAAAAATTAAACATGAATTGTATTTAACGCAAAAATGCTTGGAAATATACTGATCATCGCATGACTTGATGCTTGCAGGCGTATCTAACATGGCTTATTTCGCTGACGAGAATCAAAATTGCAATAATCCAGGTGGGTTTCTCAATACATGTACAATTACAACATATCTATTTCATTATTTAATAAGAAAAACAAAAACAAATTTACTTTAACACATAATTTCATTTTTTGTCAATTAACACATTTTGCCACTTGCATTATAATTCACGTTAAAACGAATGCCATTAATTATTAAACTTAATATTAGATTGAATTAGAGATTGAGAATTAGATGAAAAAATTAATATTTAATTAATAATTATGCTTATTCAGGTAACTCATGGAAATCAAGCAGTTCGGAAGGAAGTAGAGATATGCAACCTTTCTTACAAAATCCATCGAATACAACGTTAGAAACACAATCAGATGGTGTACCAAAATATTTAGAATTATTAGCAGACAATGAGGAGGTTGTTTTAAGAGAAAATCGTGTTACCGAATATGAGATACCACGAACAATTAATATTTCTAATCCCAACTTAATAAATATAGATAAAATATCGGACAAAAGATTGGAAGTTAAAAATTCAGTTGATTCCAAGCGTGAATTAAAAGAATTTTTAAATAACGATATTAAAGATCGTAGATCATCGATAACGTCATCTGAACCATGCAGAGAAACAATTTTTGAAACTAACATGAATGACAGATGTAAAACATTGGGCACTTTCAACAAATTAAGAAATTCAAACATAAGAGCAAGTTTTAATGGTGGAGATTCAACGATGAACGAACAATTAAAATTCAAACGATGCAATACGATCAAACGTAGAAATTCTGAAATATGTTTGGAACAAAAAAAGGACACGTCGATGATTAATAATAATAATAACAATAATAATAATAATACGAATACGAATAATAATCAATCGACTACTATTATTAATCGTACGAATTTGATTACGAATGATTCATCACATAATACCGTTTCTTCATCGAGGAACAGCAATTCTACTACGAAACAGGATGATAATAGTGTTGAAATAGTCAGTGATAATAATACCATTAAAAATAATAATTTAACTAAATTACAAAGGACACCGTCCACGTTGCAAGGTGGTAAAGCTAATATTCCATTGGTGATAAATAGTGCATTATTAAATTTGTTAAGACAAACACCAATAATCGAGGATAGTAATAACGGTGTTACATATACGAACATTAATAATACAGACACTGTTAAAGTTAACGGATCGTAAAACGGTTCTTTTTTTTCCTATATTGTATTTTGTAAATACGATTATATATATACATATATCAACTTTTGATATTGAACACTTTATGAATGTGTGTGTACCTGCATCAAATTCGTACGAAATCTCGTTAACACCTTTGTACGTTAGAAACTTACTATTATTTGATCACATCATTTTCATTTTATATATTATTCCATACTGTGTTAATGTTAACAAATGAATTACGGATTTAGATCAATTTTTAATTCCAAATAAATAAATAAAATACGTATACATGTATTAATTATCATTTTATCAATCGTTGATAAATAATGTTAAGTAGGATGTATATTAAAATGAACATTTTTACTACACTTATCGCGTTAATAGCTTTATGTTTAAAATAAGTTAACACATAGAAATAAAAAAAAAAAACAATTAAATATAAATCGAAAAAAAAATATATAATTATAAATAATGTAAGTGATTGACAGCGTAAAAAGAGTTGGAAAAAAAAAAGGAAAACTCTAGCCAAGTACACTGCCATTTTTTTGTCATCCTTCCACGAGTGCCGCAAATACAAAATGTGTAAAATAAAAAGACTCAGTTAGGTTTCATATTTTATATAAATCATGTATACATATCTTTTGTAAATATACTTAGCAGATATATAGATTAAAAATTAGTTATAATAATTAGTAAAAATTCATTCATATCGATTCTTCATTTGCGAATGTTAAAAGGATTTTTTGTCTTCACAAAATTAATAACCTTATCTAATTAATAAATAAATAAAACATTAATTAGTTTTAATTAACTGTTTCGTGTTTGTATATTATACCATGAACATGCCAAATAAATTTTGATAAAATCGATGAAAAATCATGCATCCCTTTTCTGAAAAAGAAAAAACCGAAAAAACCAAATAAAACGAAAATTATAAATCAACAGTTTCAACGTGTAATACCTGTAAAAAATATAAGAATTATTAAAAAAACAGATCACACATATTAGAAGTGAAATCTTCTTTAAACAAAACTTCAAAATCACTCTGATTCTAAAGAAGGTTTCACTTAAAAAAAAACATTATAAAGTAATTAGTTTCTATAAATGAATTGGATAAAGGGAAACAAAGGAAAGGAATAACGAGAAATATGATATGTTAATTAGAAAAGTTAAAAGAAACTAATTACATTTATAATGTTTATGGGTAAGCGGTCTTTAGTTAGATTTCACTTGCCATGGAATGTATAGCATATAAAAATATGATAAACATTACATGGAAAGTAATATCCATTGCTCAGGTCTAACCACGAGAAGGTAACCGCTTCTGAAGACCCACGAAGGATGTACATCTTAAAGATGGCCACATCCGAATATAATTCAAAGGAATGAACCTAACTCTTAGGCCACACCATAAGAGAACCACCATAAAAAATCCTTAAAATTATTATTGAAAATACCAGTACAATAATTAAAAAGAGTATACAATTATGAGTTGTTCTATGAAATCTATAAATAAAGAAAATACATTAAAAATAATGATCACACATGTGCGATGCTACAAAGAGAATTATATAAAGATACAAATTTTCATTTTATTTATACTAATAATTATTTTATACTATTCTATATTACCAAGTCCACTTCTTTTTCCTTTATGGTTCTCTTTTGGTCATCATTTGGTCCACCTCTGATCGTCTCCTCTCCGTAGTCCAACCTGCAACAGAAAACAAAAGGATAAAAAAAGAGTTTAAAAATAAAAGGGATAGGAAAGAAGGGAGAAAAAGTAAAATTTTCAAAGTGGAACTTGTCACGATTTTTTTTTTAAGTGGTTTCCCCAGAAGTATCGATTATTGTTTAAAAGTACGAAATATATTTTTGGAGTACCTTCCTCTTCGAAATTCACCTATAGACTGACCCATTGTTCTTTGTAACAAAACTTTGATTGGAAAATTGTTTATATGATTTTTTATATGTCAAGCATTTGTGCAACGGTAATAATAATTCTAATAAAGAAAATTCAAGATTATAACGTTTGGATTTTAGTATTTTATTCATTCTAACGTAATTATTTTACCACACCTGCGCAATGATGACTTCGAGGGTTAAATTATGCTTTAATATAAAAAGAGTGTATTAGAATATTAAAATAATTGTTAATTAATCGATGGGAATGTGTATTGATGTCTGAAAGCTTGAAATATATGATCGGAGTATCGTCCTCTTCGAAATTCACCTTCAGACTGACGGGTTGTCATCTATTAAAATTCTTATATTGAAAGTTGTTTATATGATTTTTTATATGTCAAGCATGTGTGCAACGATAATAATAATCCTAATAAAGAGAATTTAAGATTAAAACACCTCCGTGATTAAAACGTTCGAATTTTAGTATTTTTTTGTTTTTAATGTAATTATTTTATCTCACCTGTGCAGTGATGATTCCGAGGCTAAAAATTATTTGTAATATAAGCAGAGTGTATAAGAATATTAAAATAGGAGTTGTAATAGAATGATTTATACGCATGAAATACATTTAATTATTTTTATCGAAAATTCACATTTGGTAATAGTAAATTAAATGTACAATGTTTTGTTATATCAATTATATAATTTATATACATATACATTAATAAAATGTGAAAATTATGTAATTTTTTTTTCTTTTATTTTGCTACTCTAATTTAAAAAAAAAAGAAATCTTTTTTTTAAATTTTACATTTAATCGATAATTTTACAATTACAATTTTGATATATAAATTTTATATAAGTCTTCAATAATTATTTTTAATATAGATATATACATATATATATATATATATATATATATATATATATATAATTTCGCTACTAAATTTTAGATATATATCATACGAAAAAAAGAAAGTACATAATTCTTCAAGCTATAAATTTTGTACAAGTATTCAGTATAGATATAATAAAAAATCTTGTATGATAGCGGATTCTTCAAACAAAACTTATAAGAAATTTGAACCTTGAAAACATAATTAGCTTTAAATTTGAATACTATAACATTCGTGTTATTCTACATCACAATAAAAATGTATGCTATATTGAATCCTAATCATGTTCGTAAACGTGTTAATTACGAATATCTATTATATATATATTTATATATTCACAGTTCTATTCGCCAACAAATTGTAAATTTATACTATTTGAAGAAAAAGAAAAACTAAAAATATACAGATTTTTCTAAGTAATTAATATCTATTCATTAAATACTTATGCTGCTATATATATATTTATATATATATGAATAAGAGTTTGGAAGAAGAATCTATGATACATACTGGAAATTTTTCAAGAGAGCCAAAAAAAGTAACAAGTAAAATCATTGTTTATAATATCATTGCAATATAGATCCTTCTTCTTCTATCACACAAAAATTTAAAACTGTACAAAAATCAAAACAGAATATATCTCTTTCCAACAATTTTTGGAAGATTGATAATTTCCTAGAGTACACGTATTTGAGTCTATTATAATTTTACATAATGTACATTCTTCGTGTCCGTCTTGTACAAAACATTGGTAACAATCTTCATGTTTTTTAGGTTGTTTAGGGCATTGGAACATCGTCATCTAAGGAATCATCCTTACTAAATTCATGTAATAAGACGTATTCTCGAGAACTAAAACCAAAACGAAGCACATCTCTTTCCAACAATTCGTGGAATCTTCTTGGTTCCAATTTTACATTATTAACAAAAGTTCCATTAGCGGAATCCAAATCAATTAAGTATGGACGTATCCTTTTTCCTTCGCTGCCACCTTCTTTTTGAAATGAAACCAAACGGTATTGTAAAGCTGCATGTTGTTTAGAACATGATGGATGATCTATTGGTATATCTGCAACCTTTCTATCTCTACCCATCAAATACGCAGACTGTCTGTGAACGTAAAGAGTGGGTAAAGCCTTTTCCCCTTTGAAAGGATATAATCTCCATCTTCGCTTTGGTTTCCTTGCATCCGATGGCTCTGCGTATTTAATCACAACATTATTAACAATATTTGTATCTTCTAACAATTTTCCAGATAGTTCAAAGCTAGGTTTCTCTTTATCTTGAGGCACTGGCTTTGATTTATCTTTTGAATATTGTTTACCCCATTGCATTTCTTGTTCTTTATTTCTAGACAAATCGTCTGTTTGAAATTTATTTGGTCTATCATGCTTTTCATGTCTTTTATCAGACTCACATGAATTTTTCAGTGCCATTGTTTTATCATCGTTCTCATTTAGTCTCGATCGAACGTCTTCTCTTTTTACTTGTGACTTTTCATATCTTCTTTTATTATTCTGCCTATCATCTTGTCTTCTAGAATGATCACGGAAACTTGATCTGGAATCTTCTAGACGTTCTCGTTTATCCCAATCTCGATCCATGTCTCTGTCTCTCTCTCGATGTGCCCTTTCATTACTATCTCTTCTTGAATCTCTATTGTTCTTATGTACATCTCTTGCACTTCTAGAATCTTTGCGGATTTTTGCTCTGCTTCGTCTATCCTGAACGGGACTATGCTCCCGTTTCTTTCTGGAATTTTTGTGTGATCTACCATCACGACTTTCATCGCTGCTACCATTAGAACTGCTGTTCGATGGCATTTTTCTTCTTTATTAGTCCAAATAAAGACCAGCTGTAATTTGATAAAATAGTAAGGTTAATATCGATGATATTGTATACACAAATATAATAATTAAATGCGATCGTATATTATTAAAAAATGTTTAAATATCGTTATAATACTAACCTTAATTGAGCAAGTATAATCTTATACGATTAATTCCAAGCTTTTGATTTTTTTTAATAATACAATGTATACACAACTCTCTCTGCAAGGAATCAGAAAACGAAATGGCGTCTGTCAGCTAACAATAGTACTAACCAAACATTAAACGTAAAATATTACAGTCGTACTAACATATGTAGAAATGCACTAATCAGCGCACCCTGGTGGTCAACCGGTTGAAACTGCGTCTTCGCCTGCATTCAATTGTAACCAATTAATGAAATTAACTACAATTTAGTTTTAATTCTTTATGAATCTTATTGTATTTTTTTAACAATAATGATATAATAATATGTTTGATTGGAATTGTATATTTGTATGTATAAAAATATAAGAAATCTTAAGAGTGTAACTCCTTGGAACGTACGACGACCATCGAATAATTTTGATTGGTAACACTTCCTAATGTGGCGCCGAAGCGCCATCTGATGGTCACTTTTGACCTTACAAGTCCCTAGACAACATATTATGAAATGCTCCCTAGCGCTGCATATTAGAATTAAAGAAATTCTTTTCGTGCATCGGATTTCGAGTACCTTGTGCTAGAAATTGTATAAGGTAGAATTTTTTGATAATTTTATAGACAATAAGTGTATTTTGTACAAAAATTGTGCATCGATCGTAAACAAAAAAAATTCTGGAATAAATTGTAATTAAATATATTTTCTTTTAACATTATAAACCATCGATGTAGACGGATTTAATTCGTGCAGCATTGCTATTATTTCCACTCTCTTTGAAACTATCAGAATATAACCTAAAACATAAAGTTTTAGAAATCAATCATATAAACATAACACTTGTTATATTGTTTAGTTTTACAAAGATGCCACCTAAACGAGGAAAGGTTCAAAAGGAAGAAGTGCAGGTCTCCCTTGGTCCACAAGTTCGTGAGGGAGAAGTAGTTTTTGGCGTTGCTCATATCTTTGCAAGTTTTAATGACACGTTTGTCCACGTGACTGATTTATCTGGAAGGTAAAATGTCTTTTATATATATTTTATATTTGTATATATAGTTATTCATGTTATGTTTGTTTTATTGCATATATTTATTTCAGAGAAACCATAGCTAGAGTAACTGGTGGTATGAAAGTAAAAGCTGACCGTGATGAAGCTTCTCCATACGCAGCTATGCTTGCAGCACAGGTAAATACATTAAATTTAAGTATATTTTTTAATTCCACACCTAGGCAGCACTTGGATCTTAAATATATACAGTCCAATGGGCGTTCATGTTGTGGAATATCAAATTTCTTTCTTGCGTTCAAAAATATGTGTAGTAGATGCATATTTTATTGCTGGAATGATACAAAAATATATTTGTAATGTTATTTTTATTATTACTGTGATAACATTATCTGAATACTAAATAAACATATCTTTTTCTTAGGACGTTGCAGAAAAATGCAAATCCCTTGGTATCACAGCGCTACATATTAAGTTGAGAGCAACGGGTGGAAACAAAACAAAAACACCTGGACCTGGTGCACAATCTGCATTGCGTGCTCTTGCACGTTCTAGTATGAAAATTGGTCGCATTGAAGATGTTACTCCTATTCCATCAGATTCGACTCGTAGAAAGGGTGGTCGTCGTGGTCGCAGATTGTAAATGATCTTATATGCATACATGGTTAATTCATTTTCAATAATAAAAATATAAAAAAATACATATTGCATTATCAAGACTACTTAATCTCTCTGAGATTACAACATAATTTACTCCTATAATAAAATGTAAATACAATAAAATCAAATCATTTTATTATTTATTATTTAAACGTAAGAGTTATTTCAATACATATAAAATTAATAACTTATATGAACATACAATTATAAGTAATTTTTAGTAAATAAATTAGTATATCTAAATATATATATATATATTTAATTATTGATTATAATACAATAATTCAAATATTAAATTGCTGTTACTTTTATATGCTTTCATTGTTAAAAGTTACAATCTTTCTCTCACCTTTTCTTTATTTAAATCAATTTTAAGCATTTTGGTATATAGTGCATATTATATCTTTTATATATATATATATATATATATATATATAAAATACAGTATAAATAATTATTATGTAGTACTACAAAGTTTCCCAAGAGTTAAATATAATTTAACTTTTAAATCCAATTTTTGTGGTGCTTTATGTTCTAAAGCAGTTATTGTATTTACATATCCATGTTGCATAACAAAACCTACTATAACTGACTCTTCTTTTATTTCATTATTTTCGAATGGTGTAACATTAAGTCTCACTATTGCTTTGTTTCCTTTTCTCCAAACTACAAGCCTTTGAAAACAAAATGTTTGTTTATTTAATATTCAAGTTAATAAACAATTTATAGATTAATAATATTTTAATAAATTAAATACTTACTTTGGATCATCTTGAAAATTGTGAGTATCAGCTGTGTCATCATATTCTGCAGCATCATCTCTAGCTGGCAAAATTAAAGAACTATGAGGCAATACTAGATCTGCATTTGGGACAATTTTAATTGGTTTAACTTCCTCTATAATAATTCCTTGACGTACAGCAGAAGGCAATGAGTTTAGAGATTCATTTATCTAAAAAATGTTATAAATGACATAATTAGATTATAAATATATATTTTATTACTAAATATTTTAAAACTAATCCAAACTATTATCACCTGCACATCATCTTTTTTAACTTCCCCTTTTTCTGTTGCATCAACAATAGGAATAGGTGCCATTGATACATCCAATGGAAATAAAGTTATTTGTGTTGGATGTCGTGTAGGATTGCAAAACTTCAAAAATAATTCACTGGGTTTACCAGGATATAATGGTTCACAAGTAACAATCTTTACTTCTGGTATATGATAACTAGAAGCATTATTTAAATCATTAATTAATAAATTTTTATGAAGTTATTAACTTAAGATTGAATATTATACTTACAATGCAGCTAATTGAATTTTAAATTTTGTAGATTGTGGGCATATATCAGGTTTACTAAGATTATGTTCACAAACTCTGCAACGTTGTGATCTCTTAACTAAAAATTGCCTACGTTGTGGTCGAAGTTCATTTACATACTCTGGTTGCATATCAGGATGTTGCAAACGTTGCTCTAGAGTACTTACTATCACAAAAACAAACAATAAATATCTATCTTAAAAAGCACCAAAATAAAATAATAAATATTCGAAATAAGAAGCTATTACTTTTCATAATATCTATAGGCTCAGTAAATATTTCAGGTGGTAATTCTTCCACATCTTCTGATGCAATAGAAGGAGTTGGTTGATCGGACAATTGCAATTGAATCTGAGGTTTTCTTGATTGAACGATGCACTTATGTATCATAGCAGATGTTAGCCCAAATGGTTCCTATAAAATATTAATAAAATATTATTGCAAATAATTATAGATCTATTTGTCTAAATATAAATTTTAGTTAATACAAAAGATGTATCTTACAAATTGTGTGAATGAACGTTTAGGTTGGAACTTTTTTCTTTCTCGTTGTCGTTTCTCTATAGAAGTCAATATCTTATGATAATCTATTAAGGCATTAATTCTTCTAGTATGAGGATTTTCTTGTTCTGGCCATCTTCCAGAGGCTATATGAAATGAGAATAAACAAATATTTAAATTAACTTTTGTTACAATTTTAATAATAAACTAAACAATTAAAATAATAAATAATTTACATACCCATAGTCTGATCTGAAATACCAACATCTCTAGAACTCCATCGACAAAAAGAACATGATAAATAATAAACCTTTTTGGGTACAGCTTTAACATCTTTTGAATCTTCGCCTTCCTTTGCTGTTGGTTTTAATGGAACATGTCCTGCTCTCGTAGACAACATTTGGAAACAATTAGGACAATTAAAGCAGTTGGAACATCTATTAATAAAATAAATAGATTAATAATTAGATTATTATATACACATCAATTACTTAAATCAAAAGATCTTACTTATTTTTCTTAAGGCGAACTTCTGATGATGGTAAATTTTCCATACAATTTGGACAGTAATATAAATCAACCTATTTTAGAATAATTTCTATTAATTTTAAAATGATAATCATAAAATAATATTGAAATTAAATTACAATGACATACCTCTTGACAGACACAGTAACCACATCGAATTTTTAAACAATGTCGACAAAAATATATTTTTGAAATAGGCTTTAAAGAACCACAATTACACATATAACGAACATAATCAGGTTGAGATAAGTAAGCCATAATTAAAAATAGTTACAAATTATACTCTGGAAAAAGAAAAATGTTTTAAGGATAAAAAATTCAATTAAACATGCATGGATTGACAATTAGGAAAAAGTAATGTCATATTCAAGTACACTTTTCAATATGGTTACCATAATACATGTGTCATGTTGCGCATGCGCGTGATAAGATAAGCGCTATCTACAAAAATCTATATTTTAAAAAATTTTATAATAAATATTTTAAAATATAAATAATGTATTCTGTAATTTAAACTATAATTTATCTTTAAAAAATACTTGAATATAATATAAATTAAACAAGTTTTTTATTAGTAGAATTTATTTAATAGCTTTTAAATTGTCGACATTTATTAGAATTTAAATTTACCGCCATTCAGTGATCCCATTCGTACGATAATTATCGTACGCGTGCGATAATTTGCAGCCTTGTACGATCCAAAATTCAGCCTGTACGATAATTTTCGATTTTACGATAATTCGATATTATTCGATATTATTCGATATATACATAATTGAATCGTTAAAACAATAAATTATCACTGTCCAATTTGAAAATTAGAAAACTTGATGACTTTTTTTTTTTACTCATCAAATTTTGCAAACGGGCAAGAAAAAAGGTCATCAACTTTGATAAAGTTGGAACTTTTACTCTTTTTTCAGATTTTGAAAATCAAATCCGAAAAATTCTACAAATTTAAAATTTTTCCTGTGCGTACGATAATTTTCCGGTGTGTACGATAATTTTACGGCCCTGTGTCAATCAGACGAACTAAAATCTCTGGGGTCACTGGTGGTGGCTATCATTAGCGTTTCGATAGTCGCTTGGAGTTATTCGATATTCGTAATGAATACTGAACTTGAATCTTAGTCGATAAAAATCGAACGCGCGCTATTTGAATACAGTTAGTTACCGTACGATCATTTCGGATCGTACAGGAGGGAATACTTTGATAATATTAAATAAAAGTTACATTTAGTGCAGTCAAAAGTTAAAAGGAAAACATCGAAGAAAAATAAATATGTGAAAGTAGTGAGAAATAAAAAGGAGAAGAAATTTCAAAAAAAAAAAAAGGAAGAAATCAAAGTTAGAAAAAGGTGTTACCAAGAAAAAGAAAAATGTTCATTCTTATTCTAATCATCTGTGCTCTCTTCAGTGGAGGTAATTATTTTTTACATTGACATCACACCTGAGAATACCAGATGTACTGAACGTGTAGACATATTTTTTTCTTTTTTAACTTGTTGTGAGTAACATAGTGATCGAGTCACGTGGTCACCATTGAGTCAAATACGGGTTTACGAATGAATTTAATAGTCCAGTCAAAATAGCCCTGAAATCGTGTTTTTGGGCTATACGGCTGAAAAAATATGAAAAATATCAGAAAAATGCGTACAAAACTGTGGGCAAAGTAAAGAAGTTTGCAACTACCGGGAAAGGGGTGAAAAAAATTAAAAACTACCCCAAAATACGATTTTTGGATTATATGTTGAAAATATCAAAAAAAGTTTTACATAAAAGTTGTAGAGCATAAAATTTTAGGCCTATCTCTCTCAGACCATTTTTCCCCTAAAACGCACCCTTTCACCCCTACGACGGTTCAAAGTACTGAAAAAAT